TTCATACAAAATAGAAATTATGACAAGGGCTGTGGTGCTTGATGGATTACGAAAGCGTGACAGACGCGCTATGTTTTGAAAAGAAGCGAAAACTCGGGTGCGAAGACACCCTTCAGGCAATAGAATAAAAAAACTTTGCTGTTACGATTTTTAGCGGAAAAAAGATAAACGAGATCTACGCAAAGCTGGAGCCACGCGGCAGCTGCGACGAGCGAAGCGTAAAGGAAGCGTGATCGAGATCACACTTCTGGAAGACTGCTCTAAGTCATGCTAATAGAACGGAATATTAATCAGGTGTTTATCTGCCTACGCGCGTTTACATGTGATTAAAATAATATATTCACGAGAATGTATTAAAAGCGCTTTTGGTAATTAAGCTTAATTATCGGAAAATTCCATGTGAAACAACGATATTGAATTTTATTAATCTTTTAAAACTTTTTTACGCTTTCACAGATGCGTAAAGATTATATTGATAAATTTAACTTTATTTAGAAAAGTTAAAAATATCATTGTGCTTAGTGGCATTTATACCGACTTCCAAGAAAAATGTTAAAACTTTCATTCGTAACATTTATAAAACTGCCTACCATGATTTTCCGTGGCAACGGAAGGGTTAAGAGAATAAACCGTCACCATTCAAGCATCGCCCATTATCTACCAGAGAAAACAAACTGGTCATCTCTCATTGCGCGCATTATGTCCGGGCTGTCACAGTTGTAGAGGATTACACGTCGATTACGAGGCGCAATTTTAAACCTTCTCCCTCTCGCAATCTGCACTCTCTCGTTCTCTATCGCTCGCTTCGCGTCGCAACCCTTTGTGGGTTACTCCATGGTTTTACAATCAGTCACCCATGCTGTGACACGGCCGATGGGTCGTCGTCGATGAAGGGGTTGCCTCGTTTCGGAAAGCGGATTACGCTTGTCTCTCTCGCGTTCCTCTTTTTAGTTCTCACTTCACGGCAAGTCGACTCTCGGTACCGAACTCAACGGCTGCCATTTCTCGAGTGATCGATGAGCCGGGAGTTAAACCGATCGCGTATCTTTCTTCAACGATCGAAAATTTTCTCGGCCGATCACGATTTTTCATGTTTCTTGACTCGCCATGGTGGTTTTTACTTGTCATTGTTTACGCAGCAATCCTCTCTTCTCTAGAAGGCGTGTTCAAGGGATGAAATTCGCTTTCCAAAAACATAATAGAAAAACGCTTTCCAAAAACGTAATAGAAAAAATTAATAACGCAAAATATCATTCAAACATAATTTATCTTATATTAAATATAGAAACATATTATTTAAAATTATAATTTGAATGTTTAATTGTTTAATTATATAGTTTTTTCATGTTAAGTTGAAATTAAAGTTCAAAATTTGTATTATCATAACGTCACAGAATCATTTTCATAGTGCGACAGAGAATAATCACAATTTCCAGATCGTTTCTGGACGAAGCTTCATAGATCGCTGAAGTTTACTTTCGGACAAGAAATCTCTCGATACGTTCGGGAAATACTTGATGCGGAATAGTCGGGGTGCCTCGAAAGTCCCGCCGTCCCCCAACCTCTGTACTCTGCAAAGGTGCCCCCGGCTTTTTTTCCAGTATGAATGATGATGTATGGATGCTGGCTCTGGGCACCGGGGGCACGGTAAAGGGTTCCATTGTTGCGTCCTCCCCTGGAGAACGAACTCACTCTGCCCCGCAAGGGAGACCTTCGTGAAATATTACTGGCGAGCAACAAACTGCATTCTGCAGGCTGTATACTGTTAATTTTATGCCCGATTTTTTGCCCACTCTAACTCCACCCCCCTGCCTCATCCCTCAGTCCTCACCTCCTTAGCAGCCATCCTTCGATGTTGTTACACAAGAGAATCCGTGATTCGAAGTGCCAATAATAATAAATATTCAACGAATTATTCTCAAAAGCAATGTCTAAGGAAGCACGCAAAATAATATTAATCCTTAGCTTCTAAATGAATATGATGCTTGTAACAAATATTTGTTTTGCGATAAATATGTTTATACAACAATCCAACAATATCACTACATATTTTAACTTCTCAAATATATTTATGAAAGCTTTAAATATAATTATGTATATTAAATATTATACATTACACTTAATCGAATTTATACAACAATGAATACTTCAAAGAATGATACTTGTTAGAATGTGTTTCTACTCGCTATTATATAAGGCAAGTACTTTGCAATACTTGCAGTTTGATCGAACCCCCTGTCTAAAAAAGAATATAGTCGGTAATCCGAGAATCGGGCAAATCGGGCCCCGAGAGTCGCGAGAACAATGCAAGACCGCAATTAATAGAGCCTGTAATTGGATGCACCCTGCGCTTTCTATGCAAATTCGATCGGATACGGTTTTAGAGATTCGCCTTGGCCCTTCTCGTGCGTCAACAATGCGCCAACTTCGATGACAATGGGAAATAATAAACCGTGATAAATAGCTGAGCAAATACGTATCTGCAATTGCAGCACTCTCCGTCTCGGTTCCTCTCTTTTTCTCTTTCTCTTCTTGCTTGTTCGATTCCAGGTGCAGCCGCTCAAATTCCAAAATAAATACGTTTGGCAAATATCCGGGGTGGCTCGTGCCAGAATAAATGAAATGGGGAAATTAATACCAGTATTAAAACACCAGATTCGATCTACCGCCCGAGAAAAAAGATGCAAAACATTCGCTAAGAAGAACAAATTTCTCTTTCGCGAATCAGACTTGTGAAAATAAAATTTTAATCGTAACTGTATAAACCAAATCAATGAAGATTATACCAAGATTATATTATAAATATTTAATTTTAAGAAAATTTATTTTCTTTTTATTACAATTATTTCAAGATATATAAAATTTTTTATTCTCGACCATTTAAATCTTTGCAAAATCAACTTATGACTTAATTTTTAAATGACTTAAAGTTGATAAAACGAGTTGATTAAAACTAATCATATTGTAGATATTAAAACACGATAAGTATTAAAACACGTGTTATGTTAATTTTAAATCTAATCATAATTGATTTTTATAATAATTTTATTATTTATTATTTTATTGAAATACAGAGTTATTATTATAGATTATAAATAGTATAAGAGTATAAATAGTAATTTATAATATTATAATTATAATTCTCCTCATAAAATCTTTTGTTTTTTTTGCAATAATCAATTTTATTTTCTTAACTATTATATATAGTTTCTTAACTACTATCTACTATATTTATTTACAATTTTATATATTAAAAAATTTTGTTATGTCAATTTTTTGTTTATATTAGTAAAGATATATTAATAAAATTATGGCAAAGTACGACTGAATTTCTTTATATTCAAGTCGAAGTCCAGGTGACCCAAAATGAAATACGTCACGAGACGATAGCGATTTTGAAGGGCCGAAACTTGAAGAGGCAGCACTAATCAAAAGTGGTCCATGGAGACAGATTGAGGGGCGTGCTGAAATAAATCAGTCTTTGTTTTACAGCCCTAAAACGGCCGTTGGGGACATATATACAGCGCGTAAAATGACGTCCATTCATTAAAACGCCCCAGCTGCGAGATCGAAAAGACTCCTGATGTCGATTCAGCGGCTCCAAGCAGCGCGATTAAATAATCTCGGGCATTGTGACGGAGTCTTTATTTACGACATACATGTATTTATTGCTATCATATGCAACATGCAAATTTTATTGCAGTATATCGCTTAATATTGCACCCAGTCTTTATCAATTTGAAAAGGAACGCAAACAAATATTTTGAAACGAAAAATAATCGTATGTTAAATAACGCCACGTAATGACTGTTCATAAATTGTTTTTTTTTTTTTTTGTATATCTTGATTCATCACATTGGATAATCTATTATTTAGAATCGAGTCTTCTGGAAAATTTTGTCCTATCTTATTCTTTTCAAATAAGATGTTTTTTTCTCTCTTGTAGATATAAACGAGTGGTGTGCTTCACTTGTTGCCTCGTTAAAAAATTCAGGTTCTGTTATGTCGAGCGAAATTAGCGAGCAGAGATAACGCGTGCCGTATCTGAACGCGGCGCGGCGAACGGACACAAAGATGTCTTCTTAGCGGAGAAGAGTCTGTGCACTCTGACACGTCTCGTAGATATGACATCTGTGAGAAAATTGTCTTTACCGCCGTTCGCCAGTTCGCCGGAATCGTTATCGTAAGTCCGCGAGTGTTGCAATTATTCCGAATCCGAATTGTTATTGCAATTGTGCATTTGTGCTATGCATTGCGATGTAACCGAAAGACAATTGATATAACGTCGGTAATGACAGTGGGCAGTCGAGTGTTACGAAGAAAGTTTTTGTGAAAATTGCACGATAAGATACTCTGGTTAATTGTCTCATGTTGTTAACCCTGATATTTCTTATATCGCCCAGAAAAAAAGGCTTGATTTATTCACTTGCTTTATCTTGAATTTATTTAAGATTATTTAAGATTGAATTTTCATGAGTTTCCTAGAAATATTTCTTTTGAAGCTATTTGTTCAATAATTGTCTTAGAACATTGTTTCTTTATCTTAATTAGAAAACATCATTAAAGTGCATAATTCAATTTAGCAAAACGATAGTTATTTAAGCTACAACTGTTGCATGAGTGATGTATAAAGTAACTACGTATAACTATTTACGAGCGTAATCTAACCCTGCTAATAAGATCTTATAAATCATTCTATATATAGAAGACAAAGTATCGAACCTACACACTATAATAGTATCACTATAAGTATCGAATCTACACGCTACAATCTGAACTTGTTTAATTAAGTTTTATATCAAATTACAATTTAAAGAATATATAAATAATATTTTTTTAAATGTGACAGTAATTCTTATTATCTTTAGATTAAATATTACATTGTTATTATCTGTAATATTTCCAATTAATTTAATTTTAATTTAATCTGTCATTATGAAATTATAATTATTAATAAAATTATTACATTAGAATTAACTGTTATATCATTTTAAAACAATAGCTTTTATAATAAGTAGGAAGATAGCGTTTCAAAATGAAATCTGAGAGAACAATCTCTCTGATTTTATAGTATATTGTAATTATCTGAGACAACTAATATTTTCCGATCATGGACTTTGCTTCTCATGGACTTTGTTTCTCATCGATGTCTATCGGCGAAATCCTAGTGCATACAGGATGTGAAGAAGTGTCGTGAAGTATAATTATTGCGCGGGCGCGGGTCAATAATTCGTGCCACGTTGCCTGGCGACGATATTCCTACTCTGAGTCTCTGGAACAACCGGCGCGAAGTGCTCCTCTTCCTTCTCCAGTGTCCAGACTCCAGACAGAAGCCGACCAGCCTTCTACATAGCGCCACCAAAGGCGAAGACGAAGATCTTGTCTTCCATTTTCGGCGGCTCCTCACAGTGTTATCTCCGTTTGTAAAGAGAACCAGGTATGATTCTAACTTGCATTTTCATTCCCTCACTCGCTAAAATGCATTTAAAAATGCATCGATTTTTCGGAAGAAGAAACACGTGACAAATGCAATATTTTACATGCGAAGTACAAAAATTATTTTGATTGAGTTTTTGTACTTTACATGTGTAATTTTTCAAAATTGTAACTACGGTTTTTTTGAAATGAGAATTTTAATGTAAGAGTAAGTTAAATTTCTCTAATATTGATCAAATAATTTGTAACTTCACAGTATAATTTTTTTTTAATTTATTGAAGTAGGACGTAAATAAATTTAATATTATTTAATATTATAAAGACTCAATTACAAAAGCGTGATTTACTCGTTGGCGGCCACACAATTTATTCAATTACCATACATTACAACTAGTTTCCTGTTACAAATTAACAGAAATAAGTATCTGAAAAAGTTTATCATTTGAGTATACTTCACATACCAATGAATCATTATATCCTGCATGCTGTTGTCATCTATTATAGGACTTTAGAATTTCATGCAACTTATTAAATAAATTAATTATTACGTTTTTCTTTGTCGTTATAATTATCTTTTATCTAAAATAACAATTATGAAATATTTAACTTTATTATTTATTATATTTAAATTCGATTACACATTTTACATATGCTTCTTTTGTAGGCGCGTTTTTTGAGTTTTGATAACACTTTGAGTAAAATTAGAAAGGCAAGATAAATTAAAAATAAAATTAATTCAAACTCTTTTGTTCATTTGCAGAAAGCTGGAAGCAGTGGTATGTGGAAGAAAAAAGATGAGGCAACGAAAAATGTGTTTACATTGTCAAACGATGGATCATTCGTAGAAAATTCTGTAAAATTCATGTCTAAACGTTGGTCACCATTAAAATCATCATTTAATAACAATTTCAAAAGATTGTTGTGCTTTAAAATAAGCGATGTGTTAAATTTTTCGAAATTTACTCAATTCTTATATCGCCCGACCGATCCAGCCAGTCTAGGAGTGACCAGAGCTTTATTTGGTAAGTCAACAAACTGATACAAACAGAATTATATTTCTACGTAATTGTAAACCAAGGTAGATAATTGCCACAGATAAAAAAATATAATAAATTATTGAAATATTTGACTAACATTCTGTTAATACCTAAAATTTGAATTTGAAATATATATTTCAATATCTAAAAAATTATATTTAATGTTTTTATTTAATAAAACGTTTTATTTTTTTATATTATTTATTGCAGTTATAACGCAATTGTTAAATAATTGCAGATACTTTTTTTATATCTTTACCGAAAATTTACATACAATTTACATACAATTAGAATAATGAAATAAAAAGTAATAAAGAATAATTAATAAATTAATAGAGTCAACACTAATTATAAAATTTAATTAAATTGTTATGGTATTGATATTAAAGCCAAAAATGTTTTTTATAAATCAGAAATCTCATTGGCTTGTCGCTGTTATTATACTAATCTTGCTCTTCGCGATAAATGGAGTGAAGAATTTGAATCGTAAGAACTAGACACGATTTAAGACCTATTAAAGCAGTCATGAGAATTAATGGCTCGAGCCAATAAAAGCACGACCGTGATTCTATATCGCCTGTAGAAAAAGTGTATTACTTATGAACGTCTTTATCTTAATAACATTTGCAGCACGCTTTTTCAAGCTTGATTGAACATTTAAAAAAAAATCTGTTATATTTAAAGTCGTTTTATATTAGACGTTAGAAACAAGTCTTTTTATAAAATAATTTGTATAACAAACGTCTCCGAATCTTCTTTTCCAATCTATTTATAAAACTTTAGTGACATATTTTAAAAGTTCAGTTGACAAATTTTTTTCTATTCTTTATCAGGGTTGTGCATGGTGATAGACGTCGTCGAGGAGAGAGGATTCGCGGACGTCGACATAAAATGGGGAGATCCGTGGAACTGTCATTTTCCATTGATCCATGGGATGAAGCCGCCAATGCTACCGTGGATGGTAATGATATACATGGTGATGTGGATGGGTGCCTTCGGAATCGCGCTCGGTCTACACTTCAAGATCGCGTGCGCCTGCTTCGTGTTGCCTTACTGGTACATCTTTCTGCTGGATAAGAGCTACTGGAACAATCACACCTATCTCTACGGCATCGTGGCTACCTTGCTCTGGGGAACGGAGGCGAACAAGTATTTGTAAGTCGAGTATCTGCATTCCCATAACTCTTCCATAATTCTCCTTAGTCGCTGAGCTGAGATTTAATCTGCTATCATTAGTGCGTTAGATGCAAGTAATACGAAACAAGACGGCAGTTCCGTGCCGTACTGGAATTACTTCATCCTGAAATTTCAATTCTTCGTGCTTTATTTCTTGGCTGGCTTAAAGAAATTCAGCAGGGAATGGCTGGAAGGCTACGCCATGATGAATCTGTCTAGACACTGGGTGTTTCATCCGTTTAAGTAAGTGGCATTCGCATTATTCGAGGTGAAGACAAAAATTGATATTTTACAAATATTTAACAGATAAATCATGAGCAAGAATTGTCCAAACATGAAATAAAGACAGAATTTTTTTTTAAATGTATTAATTTATAAAGGAAAAATGCTTTTTTTCAGAATATTTCTATCTACCGAACAGATTGATTTTTTAATTGTCCATTGGTTCGGCTTTATCTTCGATCTGTCCGTCGGATTTTGGATGCTGCTCGAAAAAACTCGTATACCATCCATGGTCTTCTGCACAGTTTTTCATTTAATGAACTCAAGACTATTTAGCATAGGTAATTATTATTTACATACAAATGGCCAACAAAAATTTTGAATAATTGTATGAATGCATGAATTTTTGAATAACATTCGAAATTTTTCCTGTATTATCATTATATGGAAAAGATTTCAAAAGAAATCCTTTCAGGTATGTTTCCGTATGTGTGCCTGGCGACAATGCCGCTCTTTTGCCATGCAGATTGGCCACGTAGATTAGAATTGTATTTTAAGCGGAGGCAAAAAATTTTACTAATTAATACAAACTCAATTAATACTAACAGCGAAAAAAAGACTGATAATCAAGAAAAGGAACCTTCAAAGTCCAACTTAGAATCATCTTTAAATGATGAAATCTTATGTAATGAAGCTATGATATTTGAAGGTAAATAATAATTCTTTTATAATCATAATTTTAAATCAAGCTTTAAAAATGTTTTTTATAAATATTACTGTAGAAAAAGCAACAAACGAGGAAAGTGATAAAAATTATCTTGTTAAATTGAAGTCTGAAAAAAAATCGACAAAGGAGATAATAACACGCAATTACTTAAGAGTTCGAATGAATTCGATAAAAAAGAAGCGACAAATATTTATAAAAAGAATCATCAAGTTCAGCAATCGTTAAAAACAACAAAAAAACAAAAGTTTGTAGCGTTATTGTTGCTGAGTCATATTGTATTGCAGTTTTTCCTGCCATATTCGCATTTTATATCAAAGGTATAAGATCAGTTAACATTATCATTAACATTATTGCATTACATTCTATTATTTCAGTACTTTATATGTTTATTCTCGCAAAATTATATATTATACGTAAAATAATTTTAATAACAAATTCTAAATTTGCATAATATTATCATGTGACAATTATATCTTCAATAAAAGAAAAAAGGTTTTGTACTTTAGGGCTATAACAATTGGGTACCTGGTTTATATGGTTATTCATGGGACATGATGGTTCATGCTTGGGACACCATATTCGTAGCGATCAAAGTGCATGATAACGTGAACAATGAAGTGCGATATTTAGATCCTGACGCATGGGTGCAAGGAGATCGATGGCTGAAGCACGGAGACATGGCAATGCAATATTCTCAATGCTTAAAGGTTTTAAATTGCCATAAACAAATATCTCATTAATATCAATATTTATCTCATTAACCAAATATTGTATCTGTCTATGTGTAAATTCAGGATAATTTAATGCGTCGAAAGGGGGAAGCGTTGAAAAACAATGATCAATCTGAGGATAAAGAGAAATGGATGAAGCTATCTACGAATTTAAGCATTTACATGGATGTCTGGTGCTCACTAAATGGCAGATTCCAACAAAGAATATTTAATCCAAACGTCGACATGTTGACAGTCGATTGGCATCCATTTAAGCCCATTTCATTCCTAATGCCATTACTCACACAGTATAATTCGTATCGGTACGTCGATCTATAATTATTAAATTAAATTGGTAGATATAATCTATTGCTATTCGCGATTACATACATATATCGCGAATAATTCTAAAAATAAAAACTAAAAAATTACATTATAAAAGATAATTAATAAATAAAAATAATAAATAATTTATCTTTTTAATTAAAAGGATTTTTTAAAAAGTTACATTTTGAGATTGTTAATAACATATTTCGCTACTAATTTTCTTAAAAGAAACTAATTTTTTATGATTCCCAGACAAAAAATGGATGAAATTCAGCAACACGTGTATACCTGGTCGAATTATACGGATGTACTGTTCGTGGCCGATTTTCCAGGGATGTACTTGGAAAATTATATATCCAGTGATTTTGCAAACGTTTCTTTGACAGTGTTGGAAGGCGAAGTAACGTATAGCGAAGAAGATTCGATGGATATGATTACTATATCAAAAAAAAATTCGATTCCTATCAAAACAGGAAAGTTTCATCGAATAAAAACGATAAGTTCTTATCCAGCATGCTATATGTATACTTATATGTATACTTATACCAATCAAACGAAGCAACAATTGGATAGTGACAGGTAAATAATTGTTACATAAATATATTACAATTAGATTTATGTTACATAAAAAATGCTATTAACATGAGCCTCTATCAAAATTTTGTAATAAATTGTGATTACAAAAATTTTGATACTTCTTCAATTTTGATAGTTTTTACGTAATACTTTTAACATAATTTATATTTTTATAAGAAAATTATGAAAATTCTATCGCGCATAAATTAAATTTCTAAAAAGAAATTAGAAATTTTTCTTTTTAAATCATATATTTATTTTTTATATTTTTTCAGAAGAGACGTTCCTCTAACAGGAAAAAACACACTACCACTATTAAAAGGGATTAATAATAAAATCATTGCATGGACAAGGACGTTCGCCCATATAATAAATGCCTTTCTTGACTTGATATATGACGTTCCTATGATACGGCGAGTACGCGTCAACAAATAATCAAAATATATTTATGATTAATATATATAACTAATTTATCTCAATCATTGTCAAATTACACGTTTTACTTAATTTACAATCATTGTCAAGTTACGCGTTTTACTAAATTTACTCAATTTAATTTGTGAAGAATTAGGATATATCATAAAATATATTTTTAAACGAATTGAAATAATTTAATTATTTTAAATTATGTTGGAAAAAGACTATTTATATAAGCGTATATAAATCGTTGGGAAAAGGAGTTCAGCATAAAAATTATTGTTATTATTTTTATATACAAAATTGTGATAAAATGCAGTATCTCGTTATATATTAATGTGATAATTTAATGTAACTTAAAACACAAAACTATTAAACTGAAATTAATTTCAGTATAATTTAACAACTTAAAAATAAATTTACACAGCTATTTCGTAAATGTATCTAATAAGATATTTTTTGTTAATAACAAATTATTCAAATTTTCATCCACATATAAAATTTTAATTATTATTATATTTCAGTCTCAATTTTTGTGCAATGTGTAATTATATATGCAACAATAATGAGATCATATTTTTAAAAACCAAAGGGAACAAAGAAATTAAAAAATTTATAAAAATTGTGTGTTGTGCACGCACGCGCGCGCGCGCGCTCTCTCACACACACACACACACACACACACACACACACACACACACACGCGCGCGCGCGCGTTTATCTTATTACAATAAAATTATCGCAAACTTCGTTCCGCAACGTTAATCACCACCTATGTACCTTGAAAAATATTAGCAGAATATAGACCATTAAAAATGGCGCCAGACACAATATATAATTTTACAGACGGTAAAATGTTATAAAAATGGCACATCTCTTTGTTGATGGCGTTCTGTTTTGACAGAAAACGCAAATCAGTGATAAACCTCCGTTCATGAAACTTGAGCTTAAAAGCACGACGTACGATGGCGTTATGACAGTTGCGGATTAATTGGACCATTAATATTAACCGTTGAACGATTGTCGCGTATGTCCACGTCGTGAAAAACGCGCCAAGTTACCATCGCGAGAGAGGCCTCTTGAAAAATTCAAGCCGCAGCTCACCGGCCGCGGAAATTTCGCGGTAATCCAAATGCAAAAACCGCGCGCTTTTCTGAAATTCAACGTATTACCGTTGTGCTTGTCTCCGTATTAAGAGACACGCTAAGCGAGTTGTTTCCGTACAAGAGCGAGGCGTTGTAGCGAAACGCTCCGGAATGCGGGAAAAAAAACGAACCTTAACTCAATCTGTGTACCGCTACTGAGAGTCTGCGAGCACCAACGCGCGGCGGCCTATCAATTTTTCAACAGCAATTCTCATTGCGGTGAAATTTTATGCCATAAAAAAATAGGAATGTTCTCACCCTTCCTCGGCAACATTACATCGGGCCTCTGTCGGGGAACGGCAGTAATGTAAAACGCATTCATTTCAACGTTCCTGCATTCGTAATGTCGCGCCCTGGTATTTTAATCAGAGGCGTAACTATAAAAATTACGTGCCCGTACATACGATCGCGCCCGGCGCGAGGCATTAAATTAAGAACGAACGATTTCCAGATCTAATGAACGTAGTCTCCGATAATGCTTTCCGCAAAGCAATCGCGGTTATAATGCGGTAAAATAATAGCAGAAATACAAAATTAACTAGCGTAATATTTTACTTGCGTAATACTTGCTGGATTAATTTTCTCATTTATTATTGATGTCAATAATTTTCTATAAATGCTTTACGCGAAATGAATTGATGCAATTACTTGTGAAAAATAAATTTTCTATTTACGGTACAGGCTTTGAAAGAAGAACACTTGATTTTATATAAGGAGAGAAAACGTGTCTCGATATCACGGGCATTAATTAAGATTATTTCTGTGCGATCACGGCAAATAATTTGATCTTCTTAATCATTGGACATTCATCGTATGAAAGAGTCTTGATTTTAAGTGCGGTCTCTAATAATTTGTAATAACGATGCGCTCTTCACGAGTCTGTCATTATTTCGCGGAGTTACACGCTCGCGCAACGGATCATCCCCCGCGCTCGCGCGAGCCACTTATGCAAATCATCGGAGGGTTAATTCCGCCCCCTTTCTCTCGTATTTCCTACTGCGTCTGACGCTATTATGCGTAGTAATTTTCGTCGACAAGATTTTTATGGTCCGTGTGCGCACTAAGCGGAAGGGAATATAACGCATTTATATGAATCTACCCTTTCCTAATGTAAAAAGGTTATTTCTTTTTTCCACTTTTTTTTTCCTTTCTTTTTTTTTCTTTTTTAATAAACGTGTATTCTTACAACGCTCTTTTTTTCACGATAGAACGACGCCGCCACGTCGGGAGACTGCATCATTATTCACAATGTATACCGACACCGAATAAATTCAGCTTCGGGAATTAAACACTGTTGTCTGGTATTTTCAGACTGGCGGACACTTTGGCGAAATTTTAGGAAAAAACATGTGTACGTCAGGGCGTGTGTGCGCACTGCGGAGCGAGAATGAAAAATGGACTTTAAAATCGAATAGCTCCTGTCATATTATAAATTGAATTTTGGCTTCGGGAGCGTGTACCACCGAGATTTTTTTTCTCCTTTCGCACGGCGCTTTCTCTTTTCCGCTTCCCACGAATTTAGCGTTTATACATATACACCACATACTATACATATACGCATATACATACACATATGTATATATGTATATATATTTTTTCGAACGTCAGTCGCGGTCATGTCGAATATTTTTGACGAATTGATAATGAACGCCCGCGGGAGGAACGGCTTTCTCGAAAGTTGGCACGTAACGCCGTTGACTGGCGCGAGTTTGTCGGTGTGACGTCGTCGAATTTATCGCTCGATGTTCAACAAATTTATAACTATAGAATTACGGAGTATCAAATATGCGCGGATGATCATTACGTTTATAAGCGTGAAAAAAAGTATCGTATCAAATCGGACGATTATAATGTTAATTAGATGCCGACGTTATTTCATTTTATGATATTGCAATCGAGTTGCAATATCACACTTTTCACATTTTAGAGTTACTTTACTGTAGTACAACTGAAGTGAACTTTATCTTAGCTCTTCTCTTCTATTTCTTCTCCATTTTTCATAATGAAGATGGGGAAATATTTTACTCACATTGAGAACTCAAACGAATACGCCTTACATTATATCGCAATACCTGTGTTGCAACTTATATAAAATTATTTATTGGAATGGAATACAAATCACAGGACTGCATCAATCTTGAAATCGAGGATGTCTAAAATAGCCCTTTCTCACTTCGTAGCTTAAGGCGATATCTATCCGTATGCGTTCGCGATGCTAAACAAGCGGATGATCACTCTCGTGAAGTTCCAATGGACTTTAATCTCCACGACATATATTAATATATCGCGAGCTTGGTAAATTATATTAATTAAATTTCTGTCTGTGTTATAGTACCGATACGAATGTGCGTTTCACTCGGCATCATAACTGGAACGAATGGCACCGTCGATAGTAAGCAATGGGATAATTACTTCTGGAACGCCTCGTCTACTAAAACAGAGATACATGTTTCTGATGTTCAACGGATTATATCAGCATTTCATGCGCAGATATTAATATTGCTTTCGCTCGTTCGATCTTAAATAGTTTATAACGTGTACTTGACATTTTCTTTTTCGTGGAGTTTCAGAAACGTCTAAAAATGAATCCTTTCGTAATTTATGGAAAATTGTGCAAAGTGCAAAATACATAATCTATCGTATAAACAGTGCCATTAAATCTTCTAGAAGGATTATAAATTGTAATTCCTTCCGATTGTGATATTACTCTTGCAACAATCACTCTTTCAAATATACATTAAACTTTTTATTATTACTCACAATCGTTATGTAAGTATTTTATCATATTTTATATTACAATTTCAAAACTACCCTATAAAGATTTCATAATTAGTGTTACTTCCTTCTATATTATATTTGCAATTCTTTCTATAAGAACTTGTAATTTATATTACGTCATTGAAGTATAGCACATCGTTTATGCATATTACGGGAACGCTTTGTACCGTATTAGGTGCCGTGGATGGAGACAAGACCAGCTGACATTCCCTTCACAAGAGCGTAATAGAACACCTCCATTTCCAACCGTTGCGTTATCCGGCACTGCCTGTCCTCATTATGCTAAGCACTAGAATCGATAGCATTAGAACGGCGGACTTTACCCGACTGCGCTTCCCTCCGCGGCCCCCGCCGACGTGGCAACGACCTTCCCGTCGTCCGATTTGCGTGCAACCCTTTCGTTCCCGCAATCACGCCGGGATAATCAGTATGCAAAGTCCAACCTGGTCCAACATGGACGATTCGCTGTAATGCAAAACGGCCCGAACGTCGGGGTGTTCGATTCCCGTCGGGGATACCATCGCGGCCAGTGCGAGAAATGCGCGGGCCGCGCGTCTATAAAACCGAGCCGGGAAAACTGAGAAATGACCAATTTATCATTTTCGTTCGCGGCCGTCCGCGCCCGTTAACCAATGCGCATAAATTGCGAAACTCGGAAACGCCGTTCTAGCCGCCGTTGCGCCTGGTACGACGATACGTAGGATCGAGCTCGGGAGTGAATCATAATGGAATTTTAATAGTATTCTTACCATTTCCGTGCAACGAATCGCACCCGCGAGAATTTCATGGCACATTTTCTCGAAATGTGCGAGCCGCGAAAACTTTAAAGCGCCTTTGGGTGATCTAGGTCGACTGTAATGCTTGAAGAAGCGAAGAAAGCCTTTTTTTCTTATGTTTTGCAGATTACTTATAAAAATTTTGAAAATTTTCATTAATGTTTATAGTTATCTTCGCAAAACGACAAAGTGATGACATGATCACGTTATTACGGACAAGATATTACGGACACGTTATCTTCTGCGCGAGTTGCTTGAGTGAGAGAAGGAAAGAGAAAGGAGGTGAAAGAAAAAGAAAAAAATGAAGAAAAAGAGCAAAAAGTGATACATATCGAACATATAGAAATGTTAAAAAAACAATTTACATTGATTTATAACGAATGATAAAAATAATATCGTTGAGTCAATTTCTCCTTGATTTTTTTTAATGTGACCACGAGATATTATAAATATGTGTTCGTTTATCATTTTTCATTATGTTATTTTATTATATTCTTACATTCAATGTTTAGACATCTTTACTTAGAAACTAAATAAAACTTCTATATCAATTAAACCAGATTTAGCCAAAGAATAAAAAAACTATTTAAACAAATTAATACGTCTATTCTAAATCTTCCACTTGGAGAAGATATTCGCACTAACTTCCCCCATTTCTTAGTATATACAATAACATATATTTATATTTTAGTTCGCTT